AACTAGAAGGATGTGCAGCTATGACACGCAACTATCTACTGGGGCTTTGGGGGGAAAAAATAAATAAATAAAATCTTTAAAAAAAAAAAAAAAAAGAAAGGTTAACTGAAAGTCACAATGAGACACATATAACACTTACTTGTTAAAATGGCAAATTTTTAAAGCTTACCAATCAAATAATGATGAGGATACGGAACAATAAGGACTTGCACACACTAATGGTGAGAATATAAACTGGTACAATCATTTTGGCAAACAGCTTGGAATTACCTAATAAAACTGAACAGGAAAATATCCTACAAACCAGCTTATATACTCGTGTACCAAGAGACATAAAATAATAATGTGTTATCAGAGCAAAAAAACTAGAAATAATCTGAATGGCTATCAAGAGAAGAATGGATAAATAAATTGTAGTCTATTTCTACAGTGGTAGACTATGCAACAATAAATATGAATAAACAAAATATGAATAAATGATACTACAAGCATCAACATGGGTAAGCCTATATAAAATAAAATCTTCTGCACAAAAAAACCCCTCACAGAGAAAAACATACAGTGTGATTCTCTTTAGGATGTCCTAAGGCAGACAAAATTAAATAATATATGTTTAGTAATATCTAAAAAACTGGATAACAATAAAAAAGAGCAAGGGAATTATTAACATAAAATTCAAGATAATGGTCACTCCTGAAGGAAAAAGAGTAGAATGAAAGGAGTAGGGAAAGGAGAAATGAAGACTTGTATGATGTCCTATTTCTTAAACTATGTGGTGGGTAATTAAGTATTCACTTAATTATTGTTCTCTAAATTATACAAATAATTGATCTACTATTTGGAAATATATATATTTCACAACAAAAATTTTTTAAAACTAAAAGAAAATAGAAAACAATTCAGTAATAGAAGCAATTAAAAATATATACAATATCCAGAAATAATAACAGCTAATATTACTGAGTGGTTAGCATGTATCAGGAATGGTTCTAAGTGCTTTACACATATGAGCTCATTTATTCTCTGTACTAGCCCTATGAGACAGTACTGCTATTTGCCTCATCATTTAGATGAGGAAGCCAAGGCATAAAAAGCTTAAGTAACTCCAAGGTCATACGATCGGGAAGTGATTCAAGCCCAAGCAGATGAAGTGCAGAGTCTACACTCTGTTTGCTTACCTAATATATGAGGGTATGCGTTTCCTAATAGAAACAGAATAGAAATACGCAGAACCCATTAAAAAAAACTGAAGTTTTTTGTTTGTTTTTTTTTTCTGGGTTTTTGTTTGTTTGTTTGTTTGTTTTTTTGGTGAGGAAGATTAGCCCTGAGCTAACATCTGTGCCAATCTTCCTCTACTTTGTATGTGGGACGCTGCCACAGCATGGTTTGATGATCGGTGTGTAGGCCCACGCCCAGGATCCGAACCCACAAATGCCGGGCTGCCGAAGCAGACTGTGTGAACCCAACCAGGCTGGCCCCAAATCTGAAGTTTTATGAGACATAAAAGACAAGTGAATAAATGAATACATATACACCATGTTGCTGAATGAGACTTCCTATTTTAAAGGTTGCGTTCTCTCCAAATTTAACATAATTATAATCAAAATTCTAATGAAATTCTGGAGGATGAGCATACAAGAGAACACTTTACAAAAAACTAAGTATATGCATGATAATAATCAAGATAACATTGAAAGAAAAATATTGAAGAATTCACATTGCTAAGTACTAAGCATATTAGAAAGCCACAGAAACAGTATGGTATAAACAAAAAGACAGAGAGATCAATGGAGAAAACAAAACCCAGAAACAAACATAAGGATGTATAAGTGCATGTGCTACATAAAGAAAAAGCATTTAAAATTACAGGGAAAAAATGCATTATTCACTCAATAATGTTGGTACCAACAAAACCTAAAAGAAAAAAGTTAGAATGTTTTCAGATTGACTACAATTTAAGAATAAAAAATAAAATGATAAAAATACTGAAAGTAGATACAAGTGAATATTTATATAATTTGGGGGAAGAAAAAAATCTAGAAAACTTGATATCAAAAGCAGAACTAATAGGGGCCGGCCCGGTGGCGTAAGCGGTTAAGTGTGTGCGCTCCGCTACTGGCAGCCTGGGTTTGGATCCCGGGCGCGCACCGACACACCGCTTCTCCGGCCATGCTGAGGCCGAGTCCCACATACAGCAACTAGAAGGATGTGCAACTGTGACATACAACTATCTACTGGGGCTTTGGGGACAAAAAATAAAAAAGGAGGATGATTGGCAATAGATGTTAGCTCAGAGCCGGTCTTCCTCAGCAAAAAGAGGAGGATTAGCAGGGATGTTAGCTCAGGGCTGATCCTCCTCACAAAAAAATAAATAAATAAAAAATAAGTAAATTGTGGCATATAAATATATAAATAAAATGCCATAAATTGAGGAAAAGTATTTGACACAAGAGTTAATATTCTTCCTAAATAAATATCTTCTCTAAACCAATAGCAAAAAACTAACCACCAATAGAAAAATACACAATTCACAAAATAACAAATATAAAAGCAACAACATAAGAAAAACACCTCCATTTCACCAGTAATCCAAAAACTGAAAAATTAAATGAGATATCCACCACAGTTTGTCAAAATACTAAACACTCAACGTTGTCAAAAGTACAAAAAAAGAAGCCTTCAAACTGCTGGTCACAGTAATTAAAAGGTAAAAATCCTTGGAAATTGGCAATATATATTGAAAAACTTAAAAATGGGTGTAGCTTTCTAGTAATTATATTTCTAAGTTATGATTAAAAATTTAGTCATTTAGGGGCTGGCCCCGTGGTGTAGCAGTTAAGTGCGCGGGCTCTGCTGCTGGCGGCCCAGGTTCAGATCCCAGGCGTGCACCGACACACCGCTTGTCAGGTCATGCTGTGGCAGCACCCCACATAAAGTGGAGAAAAATGGGCACGGATGTTAGTTCAGGGCCAGTCTTCCTCAGCAAAAAGAGGAGGATTGGCATGGATGTTAGCTCAGGGCTGATCTTCCTCACACACACACACTAAAATAAATGAATAAATAAATTTAAGAAAAGAAAAATTTAGTCATTTGAAATTTAAACGTCATAGTGATTTAATATTTAAATTTAAAGTTGACAATAATTGAAATAACTAAAAACAAGATAGTTAAATTATGGTATGTCCACAAAATGGAATACTGTGCAGTCATTAAAAATAACATCACAGAAAAAATGTTTTCACTATTTCAAATATTTGCTGAGTACCTATCAATGCCAGACACTGTTTTAAAACCTGGGACTATAATAGTTTATAAGAAAAACAAGGCCCTTGCCTTCAAGAAGCTTATAAATGCAAACAAATGATTAAGTAAGATAATTTCAGAGAGTGATTAATGCTATGAACAAAATTATTACAAGGGTAAAATATCTGTTCAATGAACAAACACAGTAATCATGTTAGGGATGGAGAAAATGTAATTAAAAAGGGATAAACAAAGGCTTTCAGCACACTGGAAAATATACAGAAATATTATCTGTCTTAACAGATAAGTACCCACTTTTTATTATATTATTTATATCTTGATACCTGAAATATTTCATATTATACTGAGTGGAAACACGGCACAGTGGTTAAAAGCATGAGCCTGGCTGCCTGAATTATTTGATGTTTCTCATCTTAGTTTCCACATCTGTAAATGAGGCTAATAACAGCATCTACCTCACAGAAGTGTTTTGAGGACTGAATGAGCTTATATATGTCAAGTGCTCATCTAGTGACTATTTTTTAAGAGTTAAATTAGTGGTACCTATTATTTCTATAAAGTCACAAACTTCTCACTATAAAAAAGTAAATCCCTCTGTCAAAAAGAGAAAGTGGGTGAGGCCCAGGTAACTCAACAGACTGTGACTGAGAGCCATAGAGGGAATACTTGAGTTGGGACGGAAAAGAAAGCCTCCAGGAGGAAGTGACCTACAGAGTTGAACCCTACGAAGTTAGTCTGGCAAAGACATAGGGAAGGAACAGCTAAGTTTCTAAGGTGAGAATATAAAACTGAAAAATGTTTAAAGTAGATTAAATGAAAAATGTAGATTATAAATGTCAAGCAAAATGTTATCACAATTTGCTTAAGATATATCTACATTTTATTTATATCTATAAATAAAATATAAATGCTAAGATTTATAAGCCATGCTTGATTATTTCTTTAAAGTGTTTTTCATTGGTTTTGATCTTTGGTGTGAATAACTATTATACAATTATAACCATTATTGTTCTAACATTTTATTTAGTAATAAGGCCAAGGATATTGATTTAATCCCCCAGACAGGCCCGTTAGCTTTGCTGTGACCTAATGTGACAATCTGTACTTGTCTCTGTACCTACAGTGGTAAGATCTACCACTGCCTTAAAACCACATAAACAGAACAGACACAATACAATAACCACATCGTTACATACACGCAAGATCTACATCATTACAAACTGAGTGACATGGGTTTCCTCACCTTGGTCCATTGCTGTCTTTTCTCCTAGATGAACAGTTGCCTTGCTCTGCTTTGGCTCGCTGATCTGTGAACTCATTTGCGGTCCTATCTACAACTTCTCCAGCATCAAGTGCTCTGTGGAGTCGATAGTTGACCATCTTTAGAACAATGAAAACAGCAGCTATCACAGGACAATAAACTGCTACTATAATCATGGAAGAAGGAAGGGCCTTTAAGAAAAAAAAAATAAAGACAGGCATTTTTAAATATTTTATATTTTATTCAATTAGAGAAATCTGTAACTAAAATAGTAAACACACACATTCACACACAAAACAACAATCACGTTACTAGCACTAAGCGGCAAAAGTATAAGACAGCTTGCTCAGTACAGTAGCCACTAGCCATATGTGGCTAGTGAGACCTGAAATGTGGTCAGTCTGAATTGAGGTGTGCACTAAGAATTAAGTAACACTGGATTTTGAAGACTCAGTATGACAAAAAGAATGAAAAATATCTCAATAATTTTTACATTGATTATACATTGAAATAACATTAGATTATACTGGGTTAAGTAAAATATATCATTAAAATTAACTTCATCTGTTTCTCTTTTTTTTTTTAAAGATGCATTTATTTTTTTTAAACATTTTATTTATTTATTTATTTTCCCCCCAAAGCCCCAGTAGATAGTTTTATGTCATAGCTGCACATCCTTCTAGTTGCTGTATGTGGGATGCGGCCTCAGCATGGCCAGAGAAGCAGTGTGTCGGTGCGCGCCTGGGACCCGAACCCGGGCCGCCAGCATCGCAGTGCGCGGACTTAACCGCTAAGCCACAGGGCCGGCCCCATCTGTTTCTTTTTACTTATTTTTAATACGGCCACGAGAAAATTTTAAATTACATATGTGGCTCACATTACATTTCCATTGGACAGCAGTGGTATAAAGTCAACGCCAAAAAGCTTATAATACAATTAGAGAGTTAAGGTATCACGTTACATAATATGTGAATAAGATAGGGTTGTGATCCAAATATACATAATCCCTGTCTATGTGCTCTCTAACTTTTTTTAGGATATAAACATTCTTTGTGTTCTAGAAAATTGCAAGTCAAAACTGTCATGAGAATAACCTTAGAACTGTGCCTGTAAAACCACATAAGACACGGGAGACATGCGAAATCCAAATAGGTTTTATTTTAAAATACTTAAACGCTTAAAATACTCAAAAACTGTAGGCTGCCAAATAAAAAGAATAAAAGAATACAGAACAGAATCAGGCAATAAATAGATTGACTGAAATATCCTGGGCGTGGGGATTGCAGACCCATCATACTTGAGGATGGGGTGATGTGGACTTGAGTCCAGGAGCTTGGAGACCACCCCACTTGGAAAGCAGGGCCTCAGAGTCACTGCTGGCAGAGACCATAAAACTAGGCTCAACTTCTGTCCGCTTGCATGAAAAAAAATCACTCTGGATATCTGTAGCGCTAGATTCTGCATGTTTTCATAAGATTCAACCTCAGTCATCTGAGAACATGGCTCCAGATTTGCTTGGGAAGATAACCTCAAATTGCCTGAGATGGTAAAATTGAAAAGGTCCTGGTGAGCAAGGCAGGTTTAGAAGGCACATGATAAAAGTTAAAAAAAAAAAAAAAAAAAGTAGTTTGGGAGGAAGAGAGAGGGAAAGAATGTGGGTTGGAATTGGAAGAGGGGGAAGAAAGACAAATCAAGCCCAGAGTCTAATACTTTTGAGTTGGGTGTGAGCATAATAACCATATATTTGCTATTTTTAAATACCTGGATTAAGAAGCCCTTCATATTATTGTATTTAAACACTTAAACTTGTGATTCCAATTTTAAGTGTCATTGAATATAACTGATTTAGGCTTATGATTTTAAGTTGAAAAATGTATTTAAAATTTTACAAAAGTCCACAAATATTAGGTTTAGAAGAGTTAAGTACTTGGAAAGATTCTCATATAATTTAAGCACTTAAAAGTGAATACTAAGTTTATAAATGAAATTTAAATTAAAGAACCTAACCTCTTAAAAATGCCTATTAAAATACGTTCAATTTGGGACATCAGCATCATGGCGGAGTGAGCTTCCCACATTGAACTCTTCCCCCTCTAAGACACAACAAAAACGACATTCATATTCCAACAGAAGATATTCATACAACACAGGGGACGTCTGAGGCACCCAGGCAGCCATACACCTGAGGACAGAGGTGCTGGAATCCCTAGAGGAAGGGGAAGGAGTGCCCTAGCACCTCCTTCTTCAGCCCAGCGAACTCCAGTTCCAGCTTCTTTGGCCCAGCAGTGCTCCAGCTCTTCCTTGTTCAGCCCAGCGCACTCCAGTTCTAGCTCTTCTGCCCAGCGCACTCCAGCCCCTGCTTCTTTGGCCCAGTGGCACCTCAGCTGCAGCTGCTTCAACCCACCTGCACCCGAGCCCCAGCTGCTTCGGCCTAGCTGAGCTCCAGTCTCAGCTGTTCCCACGCTTCCTCCCCAGCAGCCTCCACTCAGCCACGCCTCAGATCAGCCAGGGGCCGAAGACAGTGCCTGCGGATTGAGGCAGCCCAGAATACACAGCCCTTGACCCCCACGCAGCGCCAGCAAGAGGAAACTGAGACCATATATTTTCACCATGAGGAAAAGTAAGCCAACACCAACAGGCACCATGCAAAAATATATTAACTCTCCAGAACAAAAGGAAAATGACAAGCACCCACAAGTCAACCCAGAAAGCATAGAAATGTATAACCTTAACAACAGAGAATTCAAAATAGCCATCATAAAAAAGCTTAATGAAATACAAGAAAACACAGAGAGACAATTCAATCTCTTCTTCACAAAAGAGATTGAAATTATAAAAAAAAAAAAAAAAAACCAGTCAGAAATCTTAGAGATCTGGGCCAGCCCTGTGGCTTAGCAGTTAAGTGCGCACGCTTCGCTGCTGGCGGCCCGGGTTCGGATCCCAGGCACGCACCACTTCTCCGGCCATGCTGAGGCCACGTCCCACATACAGCAACTAGAAGGCTGTGCAACTATGACATACAACTATCTACTGGGGCTTTGGGGGAAATAAATAAATAAAAATTAAAAAAAAAAAAAGAAATCTTAGAGATGAAAAACACAATAGAAGAGATAAAGACAAATCTG